CCCTGTGCACCGAAAACTCAGACTCGCAAGCGCGCCTGACATCTCGAACGAAGTTCTAACAGACGAGAAGGAGACATTGTTAATTCACTTATTTGAAGGGAATAAATTGATCGACACTTGGATTTAAATGGACGGCGATGGGAATAAATTTGTGATAATTTGAATTAAATTTATTAGAACCTGTATTAAAAGTGATGACCACTTGCACTAACTGGAGTACAGCTGAATCAGATTCCTAGATGCTCGGAATAAAAAAAAAAGGGGTGACACTTGCATTATTATGCGCAGAAAAACATGTTGATGCACATTTGGCGACGAATAATTTATTCCATTGCATAGCTCAGCTCTTAATTTTCCGGAGCTCCTTATACTCATAACTTATGCTCCTTAGTGCATAATTTATGAGTTTCATTTAGGCCTGGATTTAATTTAGGAAGCGATGCAAATGAGAATTGTAAAGATAGCTACGTAATACGCTATTTTCACTGTGATCCTAAGAAACACAGAGATTATCATGTCCCGGGTATTTTATTGTCGCTTAGATGCCAGTGAGCTTAGTGTGCAAGGCTATACAAACCTCTAACAATGAAGCAAGAAGCGTGAACATCAAAGAAACATTCTGCGCTTTTTAAACACTCTAAGCAGCCGACGACAAAGCACTCTCCCCAACACGCCGTACCACTGAAAGAGTGACCGGAACGCCAGATTGATGTCTTGCTTTTGTCGGCTGTATAACACACAACCTATACATATATCAGATTAGGTAATCGGAAAAACAATTGTTTATTCGATCACCTAGTGTGATATATAGCTTAAATTATTAGAATAAACTATCACTTGGACAAAACACACAAACTTTACGATAATCGCATGTAAGAATGCTTGCGTTCCATAAGATTAGACAAAGACATTACTTGTTCTGCTTCGTTTTTGAACCCTTCAACAGCTAAGGTAGCAAAATGAAGGTTTTAGGACTTCTCTGTGGATCTACTGGCGGCGTTCCTGTGCAACTGCACAACTTATGCAGAAAATTGTAAACACCCTTACGGGATCTTTCTTGTCCATGCACATTGCGGCACGTGGCGACAATCTTCAAGTTTAATCTGGATTAACTATCCCAGAAATAGACCTAATATCAGGCGCAATTATAACAAATCTGGTATGTATATTTGTGCGTAGTATGACTCCGAAAGTCAATAAAATTTTACAAATTTTCATGTCCTCTTTGCGCTGTCTTTATGGTGAGCCGTGTAAGCATTCGCTTTCAATGACTCCTCCATGCGTGCCGGCATCCGCGTTTCGACCTTTCCTTTCTACGAGCGTGTGTTCTGAACGCTAAAGGGCGACGGAATGCTCGCGGGCCATCACATGTTATAGCACGTATTGCTCCGTCGCTCGGCAGACTCGACATGATAACGCCTGCTATTGTTCTATCCTTGAGAACACTGACATTTTTTTACCTCGAAACAAGGAAAAAGGAAACTGAGAAGTTAACGAAGAAACTGAAAACATTGCCTCTTAACTTAGCATTTCGATTTTTTTATTATCCCTATAGTATGCTTACTTGCCTGTGCGTGTCCCATCCCAACGGCCATTTCGGTAGCGCTCGTCCGGAGCACTTATTTTCTAATCAGTACATCACACGAAAACGGCTCAATATGAAAGAAGTCATTACTAGTAGAAACGTAACGTTGCTAGGAATTATACAAAACCAAAGTGCTGTCCATTTCGCCCTAGTCGCGCCTCTCAAAAGCTAATTTCACCCGCTTATCAAGTATGAGAACGAACGACGCAAGTCAGAAAAAAGCCAACTGGACCATCGGTAGCATTGAGCAGCTCACCTTTCTAGTTAATATGCACAGTCCCCGACTGGGCGTTGCCTATACGAAGCGCAAGTTCGTCTGCGTCTTGGGCAGGGGTTGCAGTGACGTCAGAACGCCGTGCCCAGATTGGATCTGATTGGAAGGATAGTGGATAGACCTCAAAGCAAGCTGCTTTGAGGTCTGCCCACTATCCTTTTTTCTAAGCAGAGCCAATCGGAGTTCAGCTTTCCGATGTCACCGCAACCCCGGCGAAAGACGCAGACGAACTTCACGCTTTGCGTTATGTTAACACGTCTTATTTATGCTGAGTTCTTCGGCGTTTGTGTACTGCTAGAGATCTCGTTGGCTGTGTAGCAATAATGAGATACCTCGGAGTCACCACGCCTTGCATTCTTTAAGCTGTCCGTTACAACAGGACGACGACATAAGCAGTCACGAATTCCGAATTTGCAACGCTGCGTATACCATTCAAACGCGTCTTCTTGTGCCAAGTAAAATAGTTTGCGATTTTTTTTAGACCAACTGAACTAGGCAAGACGGAACCGAAAGCGCATGATGATAGCTCGAGAACGCAGGATCAGCCTCTGTCGCCCGATAGTGCGCTGTTAGAAGGAAACACAAACTTAACACAAACAGAGAAGAGTGTTTTACGTGCACCAGGTGACACCGTTAGCGCGAGCACGATAAAGGTGCTTTTTCGCAGTGCTGCGCTGTTTAATGCACATATTCCTTTCCAGAGTATACCTACCCTCGACGAATGACAACAACAACAAAAACAAACGTCTGCACTCACAAGAGCCGACAGCAACCAGCAATGCCGGAATTTTCCGGCAAGGCGAGTCTAGATCCCACGATATCCCTTGTCGCAAACACACTCGGGGTGTCAGTCACCGGTCAAGAGAAATAAAACGAAGCGCAGCGTCCGGTCACTGCCGTAGCGCGTGCTTCAGGCGACGTCCCGTGCGGGAGTGTCACCCGGAATCCCAGCGCACAGACACACGCGGACGGCCGCGCGCGCGCGATCTCGGGGCTCCGATTCGAAGGGAGTTCCGAGCCCAATAGTCAGATTCTCGGCTCGGCACTACGCTTTGCGCTAACGCCGGCGCTGGCGCTGCCGCGGCGGCCGACGCCGCGCCCGCCACCGCCGCCGCCGTCGTAGTCGGCCGTGACGCGCCCTGCTTCCGTTGAGCGCGTCGACGGAGGTGGTGGTGAAAACTTTATTACGAATAAAGGAGAACGCCCTCGCAACGAGTAGGGTTGCCGCTGTGAAAGTTCAGGGAGCAGTACGAGGAAGCAGACGCATGTGAACCTGTGTGCTAGCGTCAACAACCGCTCGTGTACCTTGGCGACGGACGGCTCAAAATAGAGGAGGCGAGACGCTGCGCAGAAAACAAAACTGTTGCCGAATTCGCAGTGTAAATTGGCGTTGGAAAGCAACAGCATTTTGCTAAATCTTGTACTGCGTTAGTTTTTCTTTTTTTTTTTATTAAATGGCGTAGGAACTTGAGTGGAAATCCTAGGACCAGTTTTTCGTCGAAGACCATGAAGTCGTTTACACATTGAAAACCGACATAAAATACGACATATATAAATATCACGATGGTGTGAAGAGACTGGCCGAATACGTAAGCATGGAGTCTGAACCTTATGTAGAAATAAGAGAAACGAATAAGAAGCAGATTAAGCAGACGAGAATGTACTACCTTACGAAAGCGAAAAGGAATGGGGCGTACTCAACTTTTGTGATCAACGCCCAAAGCTGTGAATGACCGAGGGTTTATGTTTCTGCGAATGTTTTGTTCAAAGAAAAGTCTTGCAGAGTAGTTTGCACTAACCTTTGTAAAAGAGTAGCGCTACAAAGTTGTGTTGAAGTGCTATTAGAATGCTTTCTATAAAGTGAATGGAGGTCTAGGCGTGGCCGGGCTGTATCCGCAAGCCGTGAGCTGATCACAGGTACGCATAGTAAAATTAAAAAAAAAAACACGTAAATAAAGACTGTAACAATTGCAGTAAAAAGAATTGCCTGCAGTGTTTGTTAGTTTTCGCAGCAAGTATTTGGAGTTTATAATTTTAAATGTTATTTTGTAGGCTTAAATAGAGTGGCAGAGTAAACATTCACTTTTTCCGGAAACTGTACCTATCCTTGAAAACATGCTGATAATCCCGAACTATCAGGCGGCAGACTGATTTTAATCGGTTTCCCTCTACGCTACTCATTGCATCCGCAGAACTGGAGAGGGGACGGTCGCAAGGCGTCATAGCAAACTAAGCAAACATTGGCAGCGGTGGCGGCAGAGGGAACGCAAGACTAAATCTACCGATATACATTCAAGGTTGGATATCACTGCTTACTATTACATTTCGTGTTCAATTGAGCTGTATTTTTGCTGCTGCTGCTGCTGCCAGATTGTAAATTTCTGAGCTTTCAATCCTGTCTTTTTGTGCAGTTATATCGCAGCGTTGTTTTTAGCTAATAGAAGTGTCTTGTGCTATGGCTGACGGTTGTGTGTGTTGTGATGAGCCGTATGACAAGGATAATGTAATGCAATGCACAGAATGCACTTGTTCTCATCACCTGGGAGCTTGTTCCGGTGTCTCCGAATCGACATTTAAAACAAAAGGTGCTACTTGGCATAATTCGTGGCGCTGCCAAGCGTGTAGAACAGCCAAGTGAAGGAGCAGCCAAAGCAAGCTAGAGCCAAAACAAAAGTCAGGCGAGATCGACGTGACCACCATACTCATTGGCATAAACGAAAAACTAGAGCTCCTAATGGGGTTAAAAGAGTCTGTCACGGCTCTTGGACAGTCTTTAAGCAAGATGTCGGCAAAATATGATGAAGTTCTCAAGCACATGCGTCAGCACGACGCTGACATAAAAAGTTTGAAAAACAGAGTAACAAGTATGGAAAACCGTGAAAGAGAGGCAAATGTGCAACAGATCGCCCAAGATATGAATGCGCTAGAGAGGCAAACCAGAAAAATGAACCTTGAAGTGCATGGGATCCCAGTTTTTGAGCATGAAGATTTGCTGGGAAAGCTGAACCTGGTGGCACAAAAGCTGGAGGTGCCCGTACTAGCAGAAACTGATATTGCAGCCTTGCACAGATTGCCAGCTGGACCCGATAAAGTACCTTGTGTAATCGTTCGTTTCGCAAGGCAAGCGACACGCCATCAGTGGCTTGACAGAAGAAGGGAACTTAATCGCACAGGTGAGGACTCTTATATCCTCGAGAACATGACAAGACAAAACCGTACTCTGCTCTCAACAGCAAAGGAATGGGCGAAGGAAAATGGCTACCGGTATTCATGGCACCGAAATGGAAACATTTTTTTTGAGGCGGAGGGACGGAGAAAGAGCGATTCTTGTGAAATGCGAGGTGGACTTGCAAAACTTGAGGTGAACTATGCTATTGTTCCTGCCAGTAGCTTATCTTTAATGTAGTTATGTCAGAACAAAACCTTCATACTGCTTATGAGCTGAAGGCTCACATTGAAAAAGACCACTGCAAATCGTTCAACTGTTTTCATTTAATTACGCGATCTGCTCGAAATAAAACTGTTGAGCTTGGTCTCCTTTTTGACGAATTCAATTTTTTATTTGACGTTATTATGTTTACGGAAACGTGGTATTCTAATGAAAGTGACATTTTCAGTCTACAGGACTATAATGGATACTATTTGAACAGAATAATTGCACGCGGGGGGGGTGTATCATTAATGCTGAGAAATAATATGTGTTGTGAAAAAATAGAAGAGTACTCATGTGTCAGTCAAGATTACGAAGTGCTGTCCTTGCTGGTTGATAAAATTATTATCTCCGTAATCTATAGGCCGCCGAATGGAAACGTGGTATCTTTCTTTCATTTTTTAGAAACTTACTTCAGATTGGCAACCAAGAATGGATATGATATTATTTTGGGAGGAGATCTTAATCTTAACATGCTGCAGGATACAGCTAATAAAATACAACTAAAACTGTTACTAAACAGTAGTGCTTGTATAAACGTAATTACATCGCCTACGCGAATCACGGCACAATCCTCAACATTACTCGACTTATTTATAACAAATTTTGATTTAGCTAATCTAAAATCGGGGACAATAAGCACGGACATCAGTGACCATCAGGGTATATTTCTTTCTGTGGAGAGAAAAAAAAGCCAAAACTACGAGGAACCAATTTCGTGGATCCTTTCAGAATATTACAGAGAGCAGCGTTTGTGAATTCAGATCAAAAGTTTCAGAGCTCTACTGGAATGAGGTTTACGATGAACTAGACGCTAATGAAGCGTACAACGTGTTCTTAAAAAAAATTGAGCGCACATTTAAAGAGTGTTTTCGCAATAAACTTGTTAGGTTTTCGAAAAAGAGTCATAAGCCTTGGGTATCTCAGGAACTTCGAATAAAAATTAATAAAAAAATGCTTTATATAAACTATTCAATGTAACAAGGGACCCTGAAAACCTTAAAACTTTTAAAATATAGCGTAACAGACTTACAAAAAAACTAAAGAGTGCTAGAGCAAGATATTTTAGCAATTACTTTGTGTCTTCTGCAATGCGAACTGACGTGACATGGAAAAAACTAAACAATGTTTTAAACCGTTCCCACGGTACAAAGCAAATTGAAAAACTGTATCTTAATGGCGTAGAATTAACAGAACGACCACTAGCAAATGCCTTTAATGATTATTTTGTCAACTTAGTTAGAGAAACCCCTAACGGAAGCGCTTGCGCATATATTCAGCGTGGAAATGTAAGCTCGACCTTTCTTGAGCCTGCTGTAGAAATGGAAGTGATGCGAACATTTCAATCGCTAAAAAACAGTACGAGTTGCGACCCTGACGACCTGCAGATAAGTCTCATAAAATATGTTATAGATCTTATATCTCCCTTTTTAGCCCATATCTTTAATTTGAGCTTACAGCACGGGGTATTTCCTAAAAGAATGTAGATTGCAAAGGTTAGTGTTTTGTATAAAAAGGGTGATAGGAATGACATAGGCAACTACAGGCCGATTTCAATATTATCGGTCTTTTCGAAAGGGCTTGAAAAAATTCTGCATTCGCGCCTAGTGAATTTTTCTGATAAGCATGATATAATCACTACGTCACAATTTGGATTTTGCAAAAACCGATCTACGGAACTTGCGCTTTTAGAACAAAAAGATTACATTTCGCGCAGTTTTGAAGATAAAAAGTTGACACTCGTAATTTTCATCGACTTCAGCAAAGCATCCGATCATTTAAACCACAATCTATTAGTCAGAAAGCTGGAATTATACGGATTTCGTGGTTATGCCTCAACTTTAATTACGTCATACCTATCGGCTCGAAAAAAATATGTTCACATTAGCGACTTCTGTTCCGATGTAAAACCAATCTCATCCGGTGTTCCGCAGGGGAGTATCTTGGGACCTTTTTTGTTTAACCTGTATGTTAATGATATTTTAAACGTAAACACAGATATTAAATACATAATCTATGCTGACGACACGAGCTTATTTTTTTCAAGCAACTGCTACGACGAATTTGTAATTAAAGCAAATAAATCTCTCAAGGACCTGGTTAACTGGAGTAGTTCTAATTCCTTAAAAATTAATGAGAGCAAAACAAAAGCAATCTTATTTCATCCAAGAAACAAGAATGATAATATTACCAGCGATATTATTCTGAATTCAAAAATAATAGAAGTTATTTCAAGTTTTAAAACGCTTGGTGTCATTTTCACAGATCGGATGAGATGGGACGAGCATGTGAATTATGTAATGGTAAAGCTGTCCCGCGTGGTTGGCGCGACATACCGTCACCGCCATATTTTGCCAAAACATGTAAAACTACTAGTTTATAATTCATTATTTCTTTCCCATGTGAACTATCGCCATCTAGTCTGGGGAAATACAACAAATGCTAATTTAAATAAAATGCTTGTCCTTCAAAAAAGGTTTTTAGGAAACATTTGTTCTGTTCTATATGACCATCCTAGTGCGCCTCTTTTTAAAAGCCTGAGTCTGATGCCTGTAATGTGTCTCTATCAATATCGACGGTGTATAACCTATAAATCACATGTAAAAAAAAAGGCTCATAAATTTCTGGAACTTGTATCCCTAACACCAAGAGTGACCGCATATCCCACCCGTATACTGGATGCTACAAAAATGCAAAACAACATATGGCGAGCAACTGACATTATGCACACTACCTAAACTACTTAACCTTTCTCCACACCGAAAACATGCACCCTCTTACCATGTCATTTAAAGACCTTCGAGCATTCTTTTCTTCTAATATGACTGTGTAGCAAAGGTATGATATTTACCTTTCAGACAATACTAACATAAAGGTATTTATTACCTTACTTTGTTGATATGAACTGGGTTTTGTGTGCATGTATTCTTTTTCTGTGAACATTCTTTTACATGAATTTTTGTCTTTTTTGTTTTGTTTTCTGTGCCACTGCTGCCAAATGTAAGGATGGGGGCCAAGGACTTGTCAAGCTGCATCATGTAGCTTTTTTCCTCGGTGTCTTCCGTCACACACTTTTGACGGAAAATAAAACATATTAATACTATTATAGTTATGCTGCGACAACCTGCTCATGACAGGCTTTCCAGAAGGCATATTTTTAGTGCTACAGTTCATTGAAGGTTAACTTTGACCACATCGTAGCACTCTCTGTACAGCCGAAAAAGTTTTAGGATGAGTATTCACACAAATGCGCTTTTGAGTATGCAATTTATTGATTCTTACATAGTCACATGTACAGGGATGGATAAATCGCTAATTTCAACCTCAGAGAGCAATAAAATAAATATAAAATGCAAAGTTTTTGTTTACGAAATTCTGAAGTTCACTGAACGCTGTTTTAAATGAGCTATCATTGCCATTTTCTTGGAAGATACCGAATAGTAGATTTTAGATGTATGCAAGATTGGAATGTGAATTAATTGCCTTCACCTAATTCAATAACATCAGCATGCTCCACGGAAGGTTTGACTTCTAGTGCATTTAGTAAAAGACGTGGAAAACATAACTGCTTCAAGTAAAAAGTCGTCCAGATGGCGCAAAAGTAAAGTATCGGGTTGGGGGTACAAGTGAAACAGAGATCAAATCCTGTTGGGGAATATGTATGTTGGTTTAATTTCTAGAAACTGCTCCTGTATATCGTTTGCTTATGCCGCTATGGTAACCAAACCAGTTGTTCTGACATGCTCTGCAATAGGGCCTGCGCGGATGGACGGACAGACGGACACATATTTAGGGCAGTGGTTCCTCTATGGAGCATTCCGCTCTTTAAGACCCGTGCTGCCGTCATTCACACTTTGTCATTGCAGTTTTCAATGCGATACAGAAACGTAACAGCATGCATTCGAGAAGAACACTGCATAAGCTTTTGTGAGGTGACGTCGATTTTACTACATTCTTCTACGAATATATCGCTTCAAAGTCCAAAAAGAATGGTTCAAGCGAGCTGGTGTAGGTAAAGCACGGTAACCCAACACAAGGCTTGGGTTTTTGAAAGTCGACACAAACAAACAGGGTCTCAAACACACTAGAATTGTAATGGACAGAATATATGCTTAAACGTAACATTGTTCCGTCCTCCCTTCAAAGACTGTGTGATAGTATTGATGCAAAAAGCCATCCTCAGAAATGTCTATAAAAAATTTCCATTGTTTCCCCAAGCAAGATTCTACATAAGAGTCTCACTGAGTTGTTATGTGTTATGCTATCGTATTTTCATTTGTTCTCCCAGAATCTCAAGTTCATATTTGACAACTACGCTCTAGATACTGCTTCGACTGTAGATTATTCCTCGCAACATTTAGCTCGGTTCATTTCCACTCATGAGGGTTGCCTGAGGAACGACGTAAAGGAAAATGATAAGTGTGCCTCTGGTATTATTGAAACTGTAACTTTAGTTCCAGATTTCGCTACATGAGCGATACAAAACGCGGCATTAATGAAAGGCTGCATGAGCATAAAATTTGTATAAAAACAAATAGCCGTATTCGGACAGATTAAAACAAATATTTGTGTGCCCTTATTATACTCTACTTGAGTAGTATTGTCTGAAAAGAATGACGGCAAGTGTCTAGTGATGAAAAAATAGTGAGTGCGCAGGCGAGCTGGTGTAAATTGATCATGATGTAGAATACCCGAGACGTCGATACGTTCTTTTCCCCTGTCTTTTTCTTCGACTTTGAGACGTACATTTTTCCTTTCTTTTTTCTTCGACCACGTTTCCCAGCGTTTACAACAGTCTCGGGTATTCTACATCACGTCAAGTGACATAATCAATAATAGAAATAAGACGTGGAATTTTGAAAATTTTGAACAGTCAATATTTCATGTATGTCTGCCCTATGAAAGGTTCTTTCCCCTTGTTTCTGTAAACC